GCTATTCATTTGAACAATAAATATTTAGTTGTTTTTTATTACAGATATATTATGTATGGGCTCCCGACCATGAGGATGACGTTCAAGTGAACTTCAAGCTTAAAGCTTCAAAGTTGCTTTCTAGCACATTTTGTGATTGTCGAAGAGAAAATAAAATGCCTAAGTTTATGTTTCCGGAGTGATGGGCTTTGTTACTGAAACAATGGAGTACTGATGAAAAATTTAAAAAGAGGAGTGAGATTGGGAAGATGGCTCGCGCATCAGAAAAGGGAGGCTCTTTGCACACTAGTGGAGCTATTAGCCAGGTTACTAGGAAGGAAAGAATGGTATACTTTCTTAATTTAGTAAAATATTTTTTCTTTTGTATAAATACTTTTTGGAGATTAATGAGATCAAATTCTATATATGTTATTTGCAGGAAAAAGAGTTGGGTAGGCCGGTAGCTGTACCAGAGATGTTCAAGGTTACTCACGTCAAGAAGAGTACGAACCCCACAGAAGAAGAAAGATGGATTGAGCCACGTGCTCAAGAGACATATGTAAGAACTCCATTCAAACTGTTTTTTTTTCTTTTCCTTGTATATATTACATTCTTATTCGTAGAGTTCTTTGTTTAAATTACAGGATAGGTATATACGAATATCTTAGGAATATCGTAGTACTCTACCTCTTGAGAGTCAGGACAGACCATTTACACAAGAAAAAAACGAGAATCTTTGGAAACAGAGTGCTGGTGAACCGATTAGAGGTTCAGTCTACGGCTATCCAGAAAAGGCGTATCAGAAAAAGAAGTCTTGGTATTGTGGTTCATCATCCTCAAGCTTTGATGGTGGGGATAGAGAGACAATAACTGCAAAAAATTCCATGACATTTTTGGCTAAGGCATCCAGTTGGATCATCGTTTTGGCCAAGTTCTGGTCTCTCTCTTGATCTGTTATGATCAGTTCTTTTGTCAATTTACAAGCGAAAGGAGAAACTTGGTCTTCGCAAATGTGTCATGCCCTAGTTCTCTTGGTCAAGCAATCAAGGAGTTGGGACGTTAATGCATATGGTTGTTGCATTATTCCACCCGGAGAGAATTGGTTAACCACTCCTCTGTTTACCAAATCAAGACTTGTATAGAAAACTCCCAGCAGAACCTTATCTGGAAGTTCATGGGTAGGGCACTGCAGCACCAGTTTCTTAAACCTCATCCACGTCTCATGGATTCGCTCACCCTCCAATTGCTTGAAACTTTGAATATTATCCCTTAGTATTACCATCTATAACGGGGAAAAGAATCTCACTTGAAACAGTGAGATCAGCTCCATCCAAGAAGTGATAGAATCTCTTGGCAACTTGCCCAACCACTTGCGTTCTTCTCCAATTAGAGAAAATGGGAATAGCCTCAGCCGGACTGATTCCTGAGATATGTTCTTCAAGGAGAATGGTCCACAAACATCAATAAAATTCCTTATATGCTCATGGGGATCCTCATGTGCCAGCCACCAAACAAACATTTCTGTTGTAAGAGCTGAAACATGGTGCTTGTAATGGGAAACTCAAAGTTTCCTTCAGCCGGAGGTAAACAAATGGCACCAACTCCACCCACTAGATTTGGGTTATTGACAATCGGATCATTTACATCATTGAGATTCCCGATGTCCTCTTGGTGGCCTACTTGGCTACCATTACTCCCGTTGACGCTCATTTCCTCCTCTGTTTTAACACAAGCAACACAAAACCAAAACTAAAACTAAGTAGATTCAACAATGGCTAAAAAGAACACAATTCAACTTCACCAAAAGAAATTTAAACAACACCACTCCCCTGCAACGGCGCCATTTTGATTTAAGGTTTCAAACACACCTCATCCAATTTTAGGTGTCAACGATCGTAAATCAGTATAAAACCCAACTAAATGAGTTGGGGTCGAATCCCACAAGGAGTGGTACGTGTTTCGAATTCGATCAAGAAGTACAAATATGGTCAAATCAGCCATAGGAATAGAAATTGTCGATTAAAGACATAATAAAATGAAAGGGGTGACACGAATGTCAGATGGGGGGATTTTGGTTTGAAATTGTCAACTACAAACAGTCACAAACACTAGGAATTAACAATAATAAGAAGGATTCTTGGGATGTGATCGAGTATAGGCAGATATAGACCTATGATCACACCCCAAGAATTGGGGTTTTAGCTAGACACTACTAAAAAAACAGTGAATACCGACCTCCGGAGGTCGGTATTCACTGTTTTTTTAGTAGTGTCTAGCTAAAACCCCAATTCTTGGGGTGTGATCATAGGTCTATATCTGCCTATACTCGATCACATCCCAAGAATCCTTCTTATTATTGTTAATTCCTAGTGTTTGTGACTGTTTGTAGTTGACAATTTCAAACCAAAATCCCCCCATCTGACATTCGTGTCACCCCTTTCATTTTATTATGTCTTTAATCGACAATTTCTATTCCTATGGCTGATTTGACCATATTTGTACTTCTTGATCGAATTCGAAACACGTACCACTCCTTGTGGGATTCGACCCCAACTCATTTAGTTGGGTTTTATACTGATTTACGATCGTTGACACCTAAAATTGGATGAGGTGTGTTTGAAACCTTAAATCAAAATGGCGCCGTTGCAGGGGAGTGGTGTTGTTTAAATTTCTTTTGGTGAAGTTGAATTGTGTTCTTTTTAGCCATTGTTGAATCTACTTAGTTTTAGTTTTGGTTTTGTGTTGCTTGTGTTAAAACAGAGGAGGAAATGAGCGTCAACGGGAGTAATGGTAGCCAAGTAGGCCACCAAGAGGACATCGGGAATCTCAATGATGTAAATGATCCGATTGTCAATAACCCAAATCTAGTGGGTGGAGTTGGTGCCATTTGTTTACCTCCGGCTGAAGGAAACTTTGAGTTTCCCATTACAAGCACCATGTTTCAGCTCTTACAACAGAAATGTTTGTTTGGTGGCTGGCACATGAGGATCCCCATGAGCATATAAGGAATTTTATTGATGTTTGTGGACCATTCTCCTTGAAGAACATATCTCAGGAATCAGTCCGGCTGAGGCTATTCCCATTTTCTCTAATTGGAGAAGAACGCAAGTGGTTGGGCAAGTTGCCAAGAGATTCTATCACTTCTTGGATGGAGCTGATCTCACTGTTTCAAGTGAGATTCTTTTCCCCGTTATAGATGGTAATACTAAGGGATAATATTCAAAGTTTCAAGCAATTGGAGGGTGAGCGAATCCATGAGACGTGGATGAGGTTTAAGAAACTGGTGCTGCAGTGCCCTACCCATGAACTTCCAGATAAGGTTCTGCTGGGAGTTTTCTATACAAGTCTTGATTTGGTAAACAGAGGAGTGGTTAACCAATTCTCTCCGGGTGGAATAATGCAACAACCATATGCATTAACGTCCCAACTCCTTGATTGCTTGACCAAGAGAACTAGGGCATGACACATTTGCGAAGACCAAGTTTCTCCTTTCGCTTGTAAATTGACAAAAGAACTGATCATAACAGATCAAGAGAGAGACCAGAACTTGGCCAAAACGATGATCCAACTGGATGCCTTAGCCAAAAATGTCATGGAATTTGAAGCGCTATACAATAAGGAGGTACACCTCCCAACAAATCAAGGAGGAAATTATTATGCCAAAACCTCAAGGCTGGGAGATAACAAAGGATGGAATAGAGAGGGGGAGAATGATAGGTATGTTCCTCCCCATGAGCGTCAAAAACCCAAGGACTCTAAGGGCAGCTGGTCTGATAATATGCTCACACACATTCTCAGTAAAGTCGAAGAGTCAAACAACGTGTGGAAAGAAATAAAAAAGGATGTATCGACTCTCCATCAGATGGTGACTTCTCATTTCATTGCTATCAAGCGGTTGGAGAATCAAGTGGGTCAGCTTTCATTGCATGTAAACCTAAGACAACAAGGGGGATTGCCTAGTGATACTATGGCAAACCCCAAGAATGAAGCTTGAATGGGTACTTCAGTCATGCCACGACACTAACTAAGGCGCTTTTTGGGAGGCACCCAAGTTTTTATTGCTTTGTGTTTGTTTTTGGAATAACGGGTGTTGATTGTGCAGGTTGAAAAGTGGAATGTGTTTGAAAAGTGTAGGTTGGCGAGCCAAGAGTCCAGTCGGTGACTTGCCAAAGAGGTCAGCTTGCCCAACTTGGACCGCCATTGGACTCACAAAAATAGCAGGTGCGAGTCTGTAAAACTCGGTAGGCCTAGGGACAAATCAGCGACTCACCGAAAAGGTCGGTGAGCCCAATTTTGTCCGCCATTTGGACCCCCAAATTAACTGGAGGTCCTGTAAAACTTGGTGAGGTAAGTCACCACTCAGCGGACGTCGAGTATTTCGGTGAGGATGACTAATACCGCCGAAAGGGCTACGAACTAAAAGGTTTTAAAAGGTCAAAGGCTTAAACTTTCAAAACTCTTTCCTATTCCCTCATTTTAGCCTCGTACTCTAGACTTTTCATATTTTCCCTATTTTTGTTACTTTTTTTCCTTGATCTCGTGTTTGGATTTGGATTTCATTGTTGCCTAGCATTACAAATTCTTCATTCGGCATTAAAGGTTGGTTTTCCGAACCCCAAACTTTAGTTTAGAAGTTGAACTGAAATGCATGTGATAATTTTGTTTGGATGTGTGCTGGGCATGTTTTGAATAGTATTTAATATGTTATTGTGCCTGTGTTTAGTTTTGAAATGGCGCCTTTGTGCTAAATTGTTGATTTCCTGAGTTTTATGCTTTAAAATTGATCATAAATTGTGGGTTGCGGTAAATGTTTGTTGGGTCTATTGGGTGAAGTATGAATAACCTCGAATCGTGCTAAATGATGTACTTTGCCCAATGATGGAGCGTTTGACATCATTCTTAAGGGTAAAAGTCGTCAAATGACCAATTTTGGCCAAATCGGGGGGGGGGGGAGCCTGAGTACCCCAATAGCATGGGTGTTATGGGTCTTTGCTTAATTGCATAAATGTGTGGTTTGATTTTGATCTGAGTGATTGCGGGTTTGAATTTGGGAAATGGGGTTGAAATTTGGCACGTTGGGCGATTAAGCGAGCTGGGTCGAGCTCGCCGAACTGTTCGGCGGTTCGCCAACGTCCCCCTTGATAGCTTTTAATTTCGTGATTTGGCTAGATCATAGTCTGTAACTTTTGGTGGGAAGCCTGAGCTCGCTGAGTTCACTCGGTGACTCGCCGAAAGTCTCCATTGATCGCCCTTTCTGCTCCCCTAACCCCTAAAATACACTGTAACTTTCGGCGGGCTAGTCTGAGCTCATCGAGTGATGTAGATGATTCGCCAAAAGGCCCTGCATATCGCCGACCTGTCTTTTTCTTTGGGAAATATTCAAGCCAATCCTTTCGGCGAGCCCGATCTGGCTCACCAAAGTGATTCGGTGACTCACCGATTGGTTTGGCGAGTCTTTCTGCACCTAAATTTTGGGATTTTTCTTGAGTATTTTCTAACTTTTCCCGATGTGTTTTGCAGATATGGCTAGGACCAACTGGGACGAGAGTGGAATGTCGCCCGGCAAACAAACACGACTATCGTAATGAATGAGGAAGCAACTGCTTCCAACAAAAATGGGAAAGAAAGCACCTCTAAATGAGGTAAGGGTAAGGGAAAAACGCCTGAAGCTGAGAGATCGGAGCACAATTCCGGAAGTGATGGGGATTTCTTTATTTCTTAGGTATCACTCTCCGAGCCTGATGATGACCAACCACTACAGTCCCGATTAACAGAGATTCGTGCCTAAGCTCGTCAAGGTCTGTTTAGGACCTCAGAGTCTTCCCCACCTACTGATAAGACAGTGCCAGCTCCGGCACAAATTATGGTTCC